GTAGAGAGTCAGATGGCACAGTCCCACTAATGTGCAGTATGTTATTTGGATTAAAATATGTTCCTCCTGCTTGTCAGCCAACTCAAAACGAAAGCACAATAAACGATTGCCAAGAAAAATGTACATGGTGCTATTGATAAACGTTTATTCTAAACATGGACAGTGAGCATCTACCATCATTGACAGCGGCCGAAGCAACCTCTCCTGTACCTCAAGAGGAAAAAAAAAGTACAAACATTAGCACACCACTGGTCAGGAAGAGACAGGCAAACCAAACACAAACACACTTGAGTACACACTTGCCAAGTGTGTACTAGAATGTAGACACAGATGGCCCTATGTTTGCGAATAGGCAGATCACACCAACACGCATACAAGTGCAGGCAGTCCGACTTGAGGAAGGGAGGTGCGCGCCGATGTGGGAATGAATACAATCAAATTAATCATAGCCAATCAAAGGGGCTGCTCTCAGTCAGTCGTGCAATGAAACTCATGACATAGTGGAGTGCAGATTATTAGTTTCTGAAATGGGCAAGGAGGTGTTGAAACACCTTAATTCATCGTTACGGAACAGCCCACCTTCAGGAGAAATGCTCTCTTCAAAGGCTGAGCTTCATGTGTGGTGGATGTGATCGGATTTTCTGCGCCTACCATAAAAAACCCCTGGCCGCATGGCACAACTATGATTGGTGCTGGTGGTGACTTGCGCGGGACACAAAAATAAGGCCTTTCGTGTTTTGCTCGCATGAGGCTCTGTTTTATTGACTCAACATCGTGTTTTCTGAAGCAAATATCCTGTGGACCAGTGTTTTCCAACCTTTATACAGCCAAGGCACCTATTCATCCATCCATCCATTATCCGATTTGATTTATCCTCACGAGGGTCACAGATGCGCTGGAGCCTATCCCAACTGTCTTTGGCCAGTAGGCGTGCTAGACCCTGAACTGCTTGCCAGCCAATCGCATGGCAAATGAAAGAAAACAACCATTCACACGCACAATCTCAGCTGGAGACAATTTAGAGGGTTCAATCAGCCTGCCATGCATTTTTCTGGACTATGGGAGGAAACCAGAGTGCCCGGAGAAAAGTCACGCAGACACAGGGAGAACATGCAAACTCCACACAGCAAGGCCGGAGCCGGGATTCGAACCCGGGACCGCTGAACTGTAATGTGCAAGCCAGTCTTCCACCGTGCCCGAGGAATCTTTTTTACATGAAATAAATCTAACAGTCAAGCAACAACCACAACGTATATCAATGACCTGGTTGCAATTTATTAACAAAATAAATGTATGTATGATCTGAGCCTGTTTGGTTGAACACCAAGTTATTATTTCGTTTTATGACTGGCAACATGTGGATACATCGGTCAATTGTACTTTCTGCCATCGAGTGGAAGAGGTTTTAATTGTTCCCGCTGTCACTGGCATTGACTGAAGAACGAGATAAATTTTATAGAATCTTTAGACCATTTCAGTCAAATACGATAACTACTAATAACTCTCATGACACAATGTGCCGTGGTCAAGTGGTTAGGAGGCACTGCTTTACACAACTTTTATGAATTTGTACTGTAAAAAAACATCACATTTAAAGATACCTGTGTTTATTCTACAGTGTTACAATTATTTTATATTCCAAATACAGGATGGAATGGATAACAGTAGATGGGGTCTTGCTCTGTCAAGACATCAATAAATCAGTTGCACACATAGCTCATGCGTATGGTTTCTTATTAAAGACAACTTTTACACTATTTATCTGAACATTTACTAATATTAATTGAAGCAGATACCCCTGATACGGGAAAGTAGAATGCAGTACTTTTGAAGGTATTTGTTGGGATGTGAATTAACGATTTCGGACAAAAAAAAAAAAACGAAAATGTTGCCTCAGTATTATCCCCTAGAAGACAGAATATCTGTCTCACTAAAACGGCCTTAAGGTGACACTTTGGTTCTTTTATCCTATTATGAAGATGAGTCAGAATATACAGTATATTCAGTAAGGCAAATAAAACACACCGTTAATTTTGGGAGCATCAGTTAATGAGTCAAACTGAAGAAAACATGTTTATTGTAGATTCGTCCCTTGCTTAAAGGTGTTACTAGCTTGACATCAAATACATTCATCAGTTTATATGGCAATATCCATTTGCTGTACTGATGCTGCACCACCTGCACAAAGTGCAGAAATTATACCCTCCACCGCTGTGTCGGGAAATGCCGTCCCTCCTTCGTCTGCTAGGTGGCAGTGTTGCTGTCTCCACTGAACGGAAGCGAGCGAACTCACATTTTTCGTTTAAAACATGGAAATGGAAAAACACAAAACGAGCCATTGTCTGATCTTGTATTATGAATTTATTGAACATAAGTTGGGAAAGGGAATATGACTGTAATTTGTTTCCCTCCTACTTACGCTGAGACATTTTCCTCTCCTCTTTGTCCGCTTCTCTAGCGGCGTAGAAGAAGAACAAGTAGCAGCAGAAGTTCGTCTTGCGTCTCAAGGCAAGACAAGCTCGATGGAAACAAATCACAATCGTATTTTGTTTCCCGACTTTTGTTCAATAAACACATAAAGGAATATGAGATAAACGCTCGTTTTTTGTTTCGCAATGTTTTCCAAGTCCATGATTTAAACGAAAAACAGGACATAAATCGTTCCCCTTGAGTGGAGACGGCAACTCTGCCTGCTAGCAGATGGAAGATGGGTGGTCTTTCAACACGTGTGAATATTGAGGCGTAACGCTTGTCAAAAATTTATGCCCGTGTCCGCTGATCCACAAATGCACATTCGACAGTTCACATACAGTCATGATAAAAGCACTCACAGCATTAAAAAACACGTGGAAATCACAAATATATTTGTGGGCACATGTTAAAATCGTGGATGTATTTGTGTGACTATTTTTTAGATGAATCTCCCCCCACGCATGGGACAATGGCAGCAGAAGAGGATTTATGCTGCATTCAAGGAAAGTGGGAACTCGGAAATTTCCAAATAGATTGTCCCAGTTACGACCTCTAAGTGTTTGAGGCGAATGCCAATAACAAAGACTTTTGACTGAGATAAATTGTGTGTTATTCTGGTTCATTCACAACACATTTTGACATGCAGCAAGCCATCTTCACAATTTCCTTAATTTAGCGAATACATTATCTTATTGAATTGAATTGAATTGAATTGAATTGAATACAACTTTATTGTCAAACGTGCTGTACGTATGTGTAACATACAATACAGATGAAATTTCTTCCCTCTCAACATAAAGAGGAGTCGCTGCGGGTGTCCGCGCCGCCATCAAAAGAAATCTTCAAAGCATTTCATTGATGTCGCCAAATAACTTCATGTCGGGAGTTTCTTCGCGTTGTCAGTACAAATCACGCTGTGTTACGTGAAGTTATGTTGAATAATTACATTGATGTAATGATAAATAAAGAGAGCTTAATATATGTTTAAAATATTGTACATTGTGTTTTGCCTGTGTCTCCATGGGATCGAGTGACATCACATTAAACTCGGGCCCTCGGACCTTCCAGTTCAAAGTGGCATTGTAGTGCACGTTTTGTAGTCAGAAGTCATAAAAGTCTGCCTTTCTACCTTCGGCGAATTCAGCATTACACTCTTATCTCAAAACAAGGACCCAACAATGCAAACTCTACTTTCTCGGTCGAAGGAGAATGTTTCTCATTCGAACGAAATAGTATTCTTGTATGAACAAGAAAGTTTCTCATTATTTCTCGTTTGGACGTGAACGTTTCTAATTCTCATGAGAAGCATATTTAATTTTTTTGTCATCCTGTCACTTTAGGGGCTCCGTAGATTTGTTCATGTGCCTCAGTGTTAACAGGGAAATAATGCCATAGTGGCGAACAGTTTTGATGATAAGAGCCAACACAATTGACAGAACATGACAGCCTGTAAAGGTTAGTCTCATCAAGATTATGTTAGAAAGATGTTGACATATTGCGTAGCCTTCTGCTCATCCTCAAGAAGAGTCTCCTTAAGCCATTATTATCAAGAGAATCAAAAGCAACTATGGTGTTTTAACTAGAATGCGATATATTCATTGAAGAACTGGGCTTCAGGCCCAAGTCAGATCCATAGAAGCAAAACCACCAGAAAGAAAAAAATGACTGCGTCTGTACTGAGGCTACTGCCACTGTAATCATCTTTCACATCAGCCAATGTAGTGAAATATCCCCTTTTATTTTCAGCCTAGACTACACAGAAAACTGCCCTTAGATATCAACAGTGTTGCTACCATTCCAACAGATAACGTTCAGACCCAAGCATTTACAAATGACTAACGCCAAAACAGTCTGAGGTCCTACCTCATGCATGCTTATATCGGTCCTGTGACCTAGATGGTAGGAGCACTGAAAAGGGGGGAGGATAGACATAGTTTTACATACATTTCAGAGCTACCCTTTTAGTGCCTTACTTGCGTTATATTATATAAAGACATTTGAATTTTGGTTTTTCCAGTTACCGGCTCTATTGCCATTTAGTGTTAAAATGTCAGGAGGGGGAGCCAATGAATTTATTTTTTTCAATATTTTTGCTTTTTCCGCCAATCGAATTATTCATGTGCCCATGGAAACAAAAATAACACGAGTGGGCACTGGAATATTTGTCTTACTCTGAATATTCTGTCTGTGTGCCCACGCACAAGAACGGGAGGTATGGAGAGAGGGGGAGAGAGAGCGAGGGAAAAAAGATCGAAGGAGAGAGAGAGAGAGAGAGAGAGAGAGAGAGAGAGAGAGAGAGAGAGAGATGGGTCATGCAAATATGAGTCAAATGTTGAAGCCCCGATGGTTAGATTCGGCTTTAGGCGCGGCTGGCAGACCGCTGACAAAAGACACGTCGCAAAATGCCTTTTCACACACAGCTAAAAGCGAGCTCACGATGACTGGGAGGGAATCGTCCGTTCATCACCAGCAACAGTCAACCAATTATGCTTAATTAGAAAGAGCACTAGAATGAGAAAATGACTTACCGCGCGAATTGAGAATCTCTCCGACATTTGCTGAAGGCAAGGTGTGCTCCGTGCGGTTGGCGGCGGTCCTCGTGCGCCCGCGCCCCCTCGCGTGTAATGTTTCTTCAATGAAGAGGTCAGTGAGTGTGCGGGAGCCCAACCTTCCCGAACCAGCAGCCCGGCAAAGACCGAGTGAGCAGAAAGACTGAGCGAAGGAGAAAGACGACGAGCGTTATCTGTTCAGCACCGGACGGCTTCGAACAGCTCCCCGAATGACGTCACTGCCTAGCCACGACGCCACGCCCACTACCACATTGACGGTCCCAGAAAGAGATTTTGAGCCACGAACAAAAGTGACGCTGAGAAGGAATTATAAGGTTAAAATGAAAATAGTAACAATAATGCACAATTGAAGGAATAATTATGTATTTTAGTTTTAGTTATCATACATTTGCGTATTAATAATAGTGAATTAATTATGCTTGCAATGAAGAATGCTTATGCTCTGAACAAAGGAGAACGCTGATGCTCTTAAGAAATATATGCTCATACTTATAGTAAAGAATGCTTAGTACACTGTGTGACAGTTAGGGCACACAACCTCCTTTCTGAGAATGTGATTGGTAAGAGATAAGGTAATAAGACAAAACAAGAGCAAGGTCGGACGCAGATGGAGTTGTCAACACCAGCTGCAGCTTACTTCGTGGTTTTTGTCATGACTGCACGCATATATGTAATTTTCACACACACACACACACACACACACACATAGTCAAACAAGTTCAGTGTGTGTCTTCAACAGCCCTCACTCCTTAAGTTGGACACACCCCTGTATTGGATTCCCAATGAGAAAATAAATGAGAGAGCGAGCATGGAGATCCGGGGGTGACGTGCAGAAAATTGAAACCTAACGCTTCTCTCCGTTCCCCCCTGGAGCCAGAATCGAGTGTCTCCTCTCCTCATTGGGTCTTTATTATGAATGTCTAATTGATAACTTTGGCAATAATACACTGTATAATGATTGCATCTAACATTTGTCACAATGCACATCTAAACAATTTACATCGTGAATATTATGGTAATAAATTAGTCGTGTCTGTCACAAGACACGAGAATAAACACACAAAATCAGGAGGGCCCACTGTCATTTTCAACACAACAATCCAAGTTGTCGAGTAAACCTAAGAGTGTGAGACTGGCTGTTTCGCACAGGAGACTTGCAATGTATTAGTTGGGTATTTCTTATTCAATTATAGGTACAATTCTGGTTCATGGCAAATGGGTTGTCACTTGTAAAGTACTTTTCTACCTCGGCTAACTCAAAGCGTTTTACACTCTTACCTCAGTCACGGAGCATCAGGAGCAACTGTGGGTTCAGTATCTTGCTCAAGGACACTCCGACATGGTCGCAGTGGCTGAGGATTGAAACATTAACCTCTGGGTTGGGAACCCACTCTACCACTGAGCCACTCCACCCCTGTTGCCTAAATATTATTCAGAAAACCAAACAAAAGAAGCATTTTAACTCAAGACCAGATAATCAATAGTGGAATCAAATTGCTAATTTATGACGATGTTTGTTTACCAAAGCATTTAACGATCAATATTGCCGGCACAACATTTTTGTACACAGCCTTACATTTCATGTTCATAATATTAGAACTTCATTATCAATATTTGTTGTTAATCTTTCCTTGTAAAATTCACAATTTACCTCTGAAGTAATGCACAGTATTTTCTTTATAACCATAAAACACATTGACTGAAAGACAAAAATCAGTGTTAATATAAATTGCTAAATTATGGAGACAGTTATAATTTGAAGGAAATATGATGATGATGTCATGGGGCAGCTCGGTAGACGACTGGTTCACGCGTCGGTCTCACAGTGCAGAGGTGCAGGGTCCGATTCCGGCTCCGGCCTTCCTGTGTGGAGTTTGCATGTTCTCCCCGTGCCTGCGTGGCTTTTCTCTGGGTACTCCGGATTCCGCCCACATTCCCAAAACATACTTGGCAGATCAATGGAAGACTCTAAATTCTCCCTAGGTGTGATCGTGAGCGTTGTTAAGATATGATTCCTCTCTGTAAATTGGATTTGAAAGAAACAATGTAGAATGCTGTTGAAGGTAGTTGCTGCCTACCGTGATTACAATCACCTTTGGTACCCCCTCACCCCCACCACTTTTAGGACCCCTCCAGAGGACATGTCAACATCAAAAGAGGAACTGTTATCTCTAGTTTCTGTGTTGCAGCTATTGAGGGTCTGCGCCTTACTAGGAGTACAGTACTATTGATCCCAGTCTCTTTCCTGAACATCTGTTTGCACACTTAAAACAACATATGTAGTGTTAAATTTTATCTTCTTCCTCCTTGGTTGATTAACGGCCCCCCAAGTGTCTTCTGTTGTTCCCCCGCACCTTGGGTCAGTCCCTGATCGCTGTTAAGCCCCCCTGGGAAGACCTCTTATCTCAGGATATATGCACAGCGGGGGTTCTGGAACTTGCCATCACACCAAATGGTGGGTAGTGGTGGTTTGGTCTCACCTCACCACTCCCAACTTCTTCCAGCCACACCGGGTCAGATGACATGTTACTTTCTTTGTTTCCGGGATTTGCATGAGAGGCGTACCTCCCCGCCCCTCATTATCATATTGTCTCTATATAATCTCATGAATGTGTTTCTTCTACGCTTCCTGATTCAAATCTGGACCCCTCAGGAGCCCGAATCGATTCGTAAACTGCAGAAAAATAAATTAAACCCTTCGAAGGAACTGTTCATCGCCTCCAGCCTTTATTTGGATTACCAACATCCTCCTCATCCGAAATTCAACGAACACGCGGGGAAGAGGAGGCCGCTCTTGCCCCAACAATGTGGATGGTTGTTCGTCTCTGTGTGCCCTGCAATTAGCTGGTGACCAGTTCAGGGTGTACCCGTGCCTACTGCCCGAAGACAACTGGGCTGGGCTCCAGCACGCTCGCGACCTTTGTGAGGATAAGCAGATCAGAAAATGAATGTATGGGTGATTATTATGAGCATAATGTTGAACGCCAACATACACTTCTGAACAATTGTCAAAATTCCCACTCATAAGCAAGCGGTTGCTCATGCTGGCTCAAAAAATAACACCAGTGAGAAAAAGTTAAAACAATGATTTTGGAACAGTGAGAACTATATCTAATACTTGCCTAGATTGGTTACATGAATGTATCACACATATTAGCTACAGCTCCCAAAGCATGACACCGTATACCGCAAGATCAACTATAATACATTTACTGAAAACAGACAACCTCTCTGACTGCATCAGTCAAACTGAACATTAACATTTTAATGCCAAATATCTTTTATAGCTGTTGGATGAAGTTCTATTGTGCAAGAATGTTTATGTATGTTTGACTCATTTCGATAAGTAACTTTCAAATCCAGAGGAGAGATAAGAGAAAGATAAAGAGGTTTGGTGCCTGCCACATGGCTGAAGTTTGGCTGGGTGAAAGGTGATGCTGATTGGCTGGAAGAAATAATACGGGTGACTTCCTTTTCGTGTGGCTTGATGCAGTGTCAATTTGGGTTTAACACTTAAAAGGTACTTAATGTGATTCATTGCCTAGTGGCTGTCACAATGTGTTTTTTTTTTTTTTTTTTTTGGTCTGGTATGTCAGGCATATAGGGATTGTACAGTTTATGAGGAGGTGTGTTGTGTGATTAGTAATGTGTCCGATTTGTCCTGTGGCTGAATAGTAATAATATTGCTGAACTCGCACAAATGGTATGCGACCTGCATGCATACACACACACACACACACGCACGCACACGCACGCACACACGCACGCACGCACGCACGCACGCACGCACGCACGCACACACTGCTCCTTGTCCTGCTGGGGAACATTTTTTCCCAGTTGTGGTCAACCACAAAGGCGTGTGCAGGAGGAAAACACGCTCTGCCTCTTATTTTCTCTCTTCTGGCACTGAAGAAAAAGGTCGACGCGCCATTTTTGATGTAGCGGACTGTGTGGCACTTAACCACTGCCTCTTCTTTGCCAAAAAACGCTCTCTCCCTCTCTGTCTCTGTCTCTGTCTCTGTCTCTCTCGCTCTCTCTCTCTCTCTCTTTCTCTCTCTCTCTCTCTCTCTCTCTCTCTCTCTCTCTCTTTCTCTCTTTTGTTTTTTTTTTGCACAGGTGGAAATATGCTAACTTTATGTCAAAGCAATTCAAGCAAACTGCATCTTCTAGTGAAAAAAAGTGAAAAATAAACGAGCAAACACAAAAACAAGTGCAAAGCTTGAGACATAAGAAGTTCATGTCAGCTACAGTCCCTCGTATGAATTCCTTCATGCAGACACATTTCAATGCACATTTCTTTTTTGAATGTTTTCAAATACAGACAAGTTGTCCAAACAACAAAACACTGTTCATGTTCATTTGCAAATAAGATTGAGCAAAAAAAAAAAAAAAAATGGGCGGCGGGGTTCATGTGCTTTGCTTTAGTTGATGAACAGTCACAGCATTCGCGTCATATATTTTGCATACGTGTAGTGTATACATACAAAGTATTTTTTTTTTTTTTTTGCTCTGAATTAGCCCTCAGTTTCACCCCCAAGAAAGTGAAAAAGTGAGTGCTAGCGCTATTCGTGAGCCTAATCTTATTACTGAGGAAATAAATAATGAATTGCTAAACATGAGCATGGTATTTGGGTTTCTGATCCAGCGTTTTGATTCGGCAACATGCAACATCCACCTGGAGATGGTGGATCTGTGCTACTGCCATTCAGAACAATAGCGGCAAGAAAGGTTTTCCTTTCCTTTTTTCTATTTAACTCCAGCCATAAAAACAAGATAAACATTATTCCGGCTTTGGCCAGGGCCATTTTGACTCAGTTCATTTTCACAGGACAAATTGCTTCAGTTCGTCAACATTTCAGTTTGTGACCGCAGTCTCTGAACTGAACTATGATTATGCTGTTTTGTGCACGTCAGGCCAAGAGTTGCTGGTGGCACTGCACAAACCCTTCAAGACTTCAGGAAACTTCTTTTCGGATGAAATTGTCTTGGATTACCCTGCACCTGGTCGACCCATAAAACGCATGTGCATTCAATCATTGACATGAAACGTGAGGGTTCCACTTCAAGACCCTTTTTCAAGTGTTTGTGCTTTCAAGTTCCGAACCTGGCAATGACAATGGAGTCCACTCATTTAATGTTGAGTACAGATTATTTTAAATACCTCTTTCAGAAGAGCATTCAGCAATGAATGTTTTTTATGGAGGTAGCATGTTTTTTTTTTTGAAGAAAATGCAACATGTTTTAATAGAAAGAAAACAAGATTGTGAATAATAATGGAATGTAATCTTCCTACTGTCAAAAATCCCAATGAATTAGCCTATATTTTTTTTCTAAAACTGAAGTTTATGTTTCTTGATGCCATGGATTTTGAATTGAATTTCTACACCAGTCGTAGTGTCCAACATGAACGCGCACACACAGTTTTCCCAACCACATCCACCCAGTCATTTTCAGCAGAGAGGGTGGACTGTTTCCAGGTTTCCCTCAGAATAACTTTTTTGAATTACACCTTTCGACTCCAAGAGGCCTTGTCATTACAAGGCCGCATTTAGCAATGACTCCACCCTTCGCGTTCGCTCTCCCACTTCTCTCCATTTCTGCTTTTCTGCAGTTTCGTTCATTGTCATCATTCGCAGTGCACAGACGCTTCTGTGTACCTTTTTTGGTTGTTTGTTTGTTTTTTTGTGGTCGTGTTGAACTATACCAGTCAGTGTACTGAGTGTAGCTAGACAGCATAGGTGCGGAAGATAACGTTGTAGGGAGTGAGGAAGAGGACAAAGACAGCACCAGACTCATCATTTATTAAACATTTCATTCATCACATTGTTATTATTATTTTAAACCTTTCAGGCACGGCGGTTACTACAGTGGACAGCTTATCATGTTATCGGGTTACAGGGTGCATGGAAGGGTTAAATGTATTTTAAACATGTAAGAACATTCTCTTTTATAACTTTCAATTCAAATTCACTTCCTCTTGGCAAGCTTCTTCCTGGTTGTACGGCTCCGTTCAGTGGTCACGTCCTCTGCATACTTTGTGAAGTGGTGTGTTTTCCACTTTGCACTACAGCAGTGGTCATCTAAGGAAACAATAGTGGCCTTAGAGACGACACCATTGTGGGGATCTAATGCTCAGTGAGGTAGTGGTGTAATGCGGTGGCTTAAAAATCTGTTTGGTTTCGTTCTTACATAAAATTGCAATGAAACATGGTGCATTTTTGGATAGATGAATGCTCAGTCAGCCTTTCTTATACTAAGGGCTTCGCCAAGACCAAAGTTGTTTAGGGTGGCAGTTATTTTTAATGGGTAATTTTATTGATTCAGAGTAAATACCGATGACAATGTTTGTTGTAAACTGGTACAAACTGCAATTGCAGCGATCATGGCTGAACACTTCTCCCACGTTTTCACAATGGATTTAAAGTGGTTGATGGGTTCAGGTTAGGACTGCGTTCTTCCTCCACACTAAACTAGGATCATATGTAACCATAGTGCCCTGCCCTACAACTGTCTAACAGCCGACCTGAGGATTTATTGTGATAATTTGTCTCAGTAATGCAGGCATATGGACAGATTAGATCTCGAGGCATGCTGTTAATGCTATTGGAGGGAGGGGTGATATGAAGGTTGTCTTGAGTGGATTAACATAACTCAGTCCACATGTATTTATTGTCATGCGCAGACAGAAATCCAAAGGGAGCCTACAACCTACGGCGAGTTTATACACCGAGTCTCTGTAGCTAAATCACATACCTAATGTGTACTACCCGCTGTCTTCTGTGATAAAAATAAAGCATTCAGTCCATGTAGATGATATCACGCAACGATTACATGGATGCTAATTTCCTACACAGGAAAAATGCACAGTAGTTAATACAAGACTTCAAGGCATACTACATACATATATTGCAATAACACCTAGGGACAATCTAGAGCAGTGGTGTCAAACATACGGCCCGCGGGCCGGATCCGGCCCGCAAAGGAGTTTAATCCGGCCCTTGAGATGATTATGTAAAGCATCGGTGTCAAACATACGGCCCGCGGGCCGGAACCGGCCCGCAAGTAGGTTCAATCAGGCCCGCAGGATAATGTAAAAGTGAAAAAAATGCATTAAAGACACAGAATTAATATTTTTAATCAGGTGCAATTCATTGAGTATCCGCAAGGGGACACTGTTTTGATCAGAGAAGAAGACAACAGCAGCCTCAGTCTGTCACTGAGACAGACCCATGACAGCAGACGCTATCAATAGCACTCTCACATTTACACATTTAATAGCACTCTCCTTAGTTTGTAAGGTGTAGGCAGGGATTACATTTAGATTTTATATGCACGTGTAAATGCTTTAAAACTTGCTTTCTTTATGAATCTTGTTTAATCTTAAAGTGCATTACTATATTTTTCAATACCAATTACTTGTTAAAGTTTGTACAATCAGTGGGATCAGTTGCAATGCATATATGTGAATGATAAAAGTAAATTGCACATTTGTCGAAGGAAATGTAAGGTGCTTCATGAAATGTTTTGTAAAAGATATGTTCATTAAATTTCAACATTTTCCTAATGTTCTTGTGCTTCTTTATACCAAAACAAAAGAAAGAGGAAACCGGAGTACCCAGAGAAAACCACTGAGGCATGGTGAGAACATGCAAACTCCACACAGGAAGGCCGGAGCCAGAATCGAACCCTGCATCTCTGCACTGTGAGGCCAGCGTGCCAAAAGCTCAACCAACCCCCGTGCCGCCCTGGCATCTTTCATTTAACATGAAAATTCAACACTCAATTCCACAGTGTAGGTAAAAAGTTTTATTTTTATATATACCGAAAAGGGCAGCACAGTGGGTGACTGGTCAGTACGTCCACCTCAGAGTGCAAGGTTGTGCATTTGATTCTAGTCTCTTCCTGTGTGGAGTTTCCGTGTTCTCCCCATGCCTGCGTGGATTTTCTCTAGGTACTCCGGTTCCCTCCCACATTCCAAAAACATGCATGGTAGATTAACTGATCACTCTAAATTGTCTTTCGGTGTGATTGTGAGTGTCTCTGTGTGCCCTGCAATTGGCTGGCAACTAATTCAGGGTGTACCCCACCTACTGCCCAGCACCCCCCGCGACCTTTGTGAGAATAATGCGGATCGGAAAATGGATGGATGGATACCGAATACTGAGGAAAAACAAGAGCTAGGTAATAAAGCAAAAGAGAAATGATTTTTCAATATGTGGCCATGGCCAGTGGCCTTATCAAATGATGACTGATTAGTTGAAAACAATGAACAAACTTCTGTTCTCCTGCCTTGCCACTCAGTGTCGAATATCATATAATAATGCAGGCAAATGACACGGGCTGTGTCGAATGTTGTTTTAGTCTGTGTTGCCCGCCGCTAAAATGAATGCCCGTAATTTGGACACCCCAAACTGAAGACAAATTGAGAATCGTTATCGAATCGAAATATAGTCTAAACAAAGAACCGCAATCGGAGCCGGAATTGTTCAAATTCAAACAAAGCCCACCCTCTATGTTTTATGTGCTATACTCAATTTAACACTCTGAACTTCATTTAGCATCAACATAACACATATTTTCAAATTATTGGAAATAAATTCGGACATCAAGGGGTTGATAAAAAATTGTGGAAATTCTGATTGGCTTGTAACTTGAAAAAAATCATTTGATTTAAAAAAGTAATTTTGAGCCATGTCAGCAAGTAAGTTTCTATTTGTCAAGACCTCTTCTGGTAGTTAATTAAGAGCAAAAAGGCCACAGTATAGTGCTTCATGTTGAGCATCATGCACAAAAAACCCAATAGACGTAATTCCAGGTAGTTTTTTTTCTGAAATTTTTATGAGGAACCCGAATTTTTCATGAATCGGGGGTTTCGGGCACACTTTGCATTGTGAAATCATTTTTCCCCCAACTATTTTCATCTTTTCATACCTACACTTCAGCAGGAACAGCTGGCTACACAACCGGATTACAGGATTTCAAATACAACAAATTCGCAGTACTGTATTTCATTAGAGAACACCCTCGTCCATTTTCTGTTCAAAGAAACATCAAATCAGCACAACCACACTCAGAGTAAAGAGTAGGTCATTACGTTCGGTTCCAACTTCTAAGCCCGGCGTTTGCTGCTTCGGTTAATTCTAAATGTGCAGGGAGTTGCTCTGTCATTATGAGAGCTGAGCTTTGGGCGTACTGAGCGGCAGCCGCCCAGAAAATTAAACACACACACACACACACACACACACACACGCGCACACACACACACACACACACGCACACACACACACACACACGCGCACACACACACACACACACACGCACACACACACACACACACGCGCACACACACACACACACACACGCACACACACACACACACACGCGCACACACACACACACACACACGCACACACACACACACACACGCGCACACACACACACACACACACGCACACACACACACACACACGCGCACACACACACACACACACACGCACACACACACACACACACACACACACACCCAGAAAATTAAAAGTGGCTCACATTGCCTCTAAGTATATTTTCTCGGTTATGCAGTTGCTTATTTGAGGCAATGTCATCGCACAACGGACAACAGTACACGAGGAAATCTCGTATTTCTTCTGTGTGAAGTCTAATTCTTCCCGTTTTTTAATCAGCCTTGCAGCACCCTCTGGTGGCAAAACCGTTGAGTCGCCTACTACTTCCCAAAGATTCTGTTCAAGATTTGGGTTGACGTCACCCAAGAGCTTTTCTCCGAATGTTATTCCTCTTAAATTAGTTCAAAACCAGCATCACAAGTTTCCCTCTGGAATAATATTCATTATCTTGTTTCAAAAACATCGTATCACTGTGATCCAAGGCTTTAAATTTTAATATTGGATTATATTTGAGTTGAGTAATACCAAATATCTTTACATCTTATGCTCATCACACATTTGTGCTAAAGCGCTCTGAGTGCCTTTGGTGGAAAATCACTATGCAAGTGAAAGATCATTTACCATTTGAAGCAGACAAAATACTAGTATACCTTACTGTACTTGCGTGACGTTCTCTCATTCAAGTCCTCATGTTGAAACCAAAACCTGAGAAAATTTTGCAAATGCAGCCCCCAAGAATAGCAATAGAAAGTTAAAAAGACAACCCAGATTGCAATCTCGTGTATTTATTAAGCAATTACCTGTTTTTTAAAAATGTAATTTGGCACATGTGATCTCTGAACATTAGTGACAACTGTACGTATAGTTTATATATTCATACCCTTTTAGACAATAACGACTAAACTAGTAGCAAAGCATATTACAGTCAGTATCTTATTATTCTTGAAAATCAGCTTGCCAGAAATTTTCCAAGTTACTTTTTTTTCAAAACCTGATACTCATTAAAAGGACACTTGGACGGGCTGAACATTGACATTATATAATAGATCTATAAAAATGACAGGACGGGATAACGATCCTGATCAGGTGTGTTGGAAGGGGATCTGGATTGGGGATCTCGACGACGGGACCTGGGCACCCCTGTTTGAAGCAAGCCCTCTCATGCGGGATATGTGTTTGATGTGTGTTGCCTATTTTTGTAGCACTATTTTAGCTTTGTGTCAAATTTTAGAAGTGGGCTTGGTAGGCAAGAAGGTATCCATCGTTAAACATGTAGAGCTGCCTGTTGATAGGGTTGTAACTCAGACTGGCAACTCCCTTACCGATCTTCTCCATTCGCAGTGCGAGTGTATTGTCCTCTTTTCCTGTTGCTGTATCAAAAGCATAGAACACCTCTTCATGGTAATCATCCAAAAAGCGGGTAGCATACAACACACCACATGACATAAAAGCGTTGCTTGCTGCCTTCTTGAACAGCCTCGTTTCCCACGTCTGTGTGATATTGAGGATTTTAGCTTCACTATCCCAGGATAGTTTGCTTACCACGATGTTACCATGGCTACCAAAGGTGGCATAGATGACCCACAGCCCTGTCTCATCTACCTCCACGTCCACATCACTATTGGCCCGACAGTCAAAGTAACAATAAGGGAATTTTCTGTAATTCTTCTCAATTCCGGGAAGTTCGACCCTTGTGACAGCCTTGTTGTTGAAATCGTACCGGCAGATAGATGGAGAGTCATAGCAATGATAGTACACAGCCTCTCCATACAGGACGGCACTGGGGCCTTCAACAGTATTAGGATGGACGTTGGATAGAGCTACAGTAAAATCTTTGTGGTTAGCAGAGGCCATGAAGTCTTCATAAGATTGGTAGGTTCGTATGGTATTGCCTGACAAGTGGCCGTGGAGCAAAGGCTGAATCCAGAAGATGTTCTTCAGGCCTTCGCTATCTGCAAGGGCTTGTTGGCCCCATGAGCCAGAGATGATGTTTTTACCATATGGACTGACTTTAGTTATGACCGGTGCACTGATGTTCATCATAAGGCCCTTAAGGCAATACCTTTGCTGACCTGGAAAACAATAAAGGGGACAAAAATACGATTGTAAACAGTTTAAAATTAGTCATCTCTATAAAGACAGTTGAGTTGAGTTGAATTTGTACCCATAACATCACAATGAATACAAACTTCAAACTCTGATAGCTCCAAAAATACCTTTGAAATCTTTAGGGATTGACAAGCATGACTCAACACTGTTTTTCAAGTAGCGTAGTTTTTCTTTTACAGTCTTCATGTTGATTGAGTCTGCCATATGCATCATGTCAACATCTCTTCGCAGTTTCTGGACCTACAGTGAAACAAAGGTTCAGTGAAGTTGATGCTGACGTCAGGCTACACAAATGTAGGCTGATTTTGAGCTGACAGACATGCCATAGACAAACGTAGTGTCTCGTGGCCGATTATGAGTTGTTTTGACACATTGCAGCCCATGTCGTGTGACAAACTCAGGGATTGGGACGCTTCATGACCATACCGTACCATACTATACCATTTCCTACCGCTAAACCGGGATCAGGTTGCAGAGGCAGCAGATTTAGCAGGGAAGCCCACCCTTCCCTCTCCCCAGCCACATCTTCCAACTCTTCCGGAGGGTTGCCAAGGCGTTCCCAGGCCAGCCGGGAGACAGAGTCTCTCCAGCGTGTCCTGGGTCATCCCCCGGGCCATCTGCTGGTGGGACATGCCCGAAACACCTCACCAGGGGGGTGTCCAGGAGGCATCCCAATCAGATGCCCGAGCCACCTCCTCTGGCTCCTCTCAATGTGGAGAAGTAGCGGCTCGACTCTGGGTCCTTCCCAGATGACCGAGCTTCTCACCCTGTCTCTAAGGGAGAGCCCGGACACCCCGAAGAGGAAACCCATGCCGGTGGCTTGTATCTAGGATCTTGTTCCTTTGGTCACAACCCACAGCTCGTGACCATAGGTGAGAGTAGGAGCGTTAGATTGACTGGTAAATTGAGAGCTTCGCCTTTTGGCTCAGCTCCTTCTTCACTACAACAGACCGATACAGAGTCTGCATCACAGTAGATGCTGCACCGATACTCCCGTTGATCTCATGCTCCATTCTACCCTCACGTCATGAACAAGACCCCGAAGATACTTAAACTCATTCACTTGGGGCAGGATCTCATCCCTGACCTGAGAGGGGTTGTACACACTTCCATTCTGGAGTTGCCCAAGGTGAGAGGCGCCGTGCAGGTGTAGACATACTGATTGCCCCCGGCTTTGTGCCTGTATATTGGGGTTCACCTCGGTGGACGAGAGAGTAGCCTCCCTCTGCCTTTGAGTGGGGAGACGGGTCCTGAATGTTGCTTGTGCCTATGCACCAAACAACAGTTCAGAGTATCCACCCTTCTTGGAATCCTTGGAGGGTGTGCTGGAGAGCGCTCCTCCTGAGGACTCCATCGTTCTACTGCTCACGTGGGCAATGACAGTGAGACCTGGAAGGACGTGATTGGTAGAAATGGTCCCCCCGATCTGAAGCCAAGTGGTGTTCTGTTATTAGACTTCTGTGCTCGTCACAGATTGTCCATAACGAAGACCATGTTCAAACATAATGTTGTCCAAATGTACATTTGGCACCAGGGCAGCCTAGGCCACAGTTCAATGATCGACTTTGTAGTTATGTCGTCGGATTTGTTTCAGATATTTGAGTGAAGAGAGGGGCGGAGCTGTCAATTGATCACCACAACCATGACGGCAAAAGACTCGCAGGTCAGAATTTTTGTTCATCTTGTCGCATAGTCTGAGATGTCCTATGTTGTCCTTCGATTGGTTCTTCAGCGTTGACCAATAGGAAGACACTTGTGCCCTTCTACTTATGACGAGAGACAGGACGTGGCGCACACAATCACAATGTGGTGTACAGTATTTAAAAAGTGGCCTGAACAAAATGAAAAAAATATTTATGTGGTAGTCTGACAGCGCAAGCATCTTGAACGACAAAAAGGTTCTGTGATTTGACAGGGCTATTAATATTGTATCCAGTATACTACTCACAAATGGTTCAATATGTTCAGCTTTTGGTTTCTAGTTAAATCTCAGGATGAACCTATAAGGCACAATAAGCATTCAGGTCAACTTAGTTAGACCTACTCTAAAATTTTGAATGAATCCTATGTCCAACCGGTCGATGTTTAAGTTTTTTTTTTTTTTTTTTTTTTTTTTTTTTTTTTTTTCTTAAAAACACCAGAAACGCATTTATACGTTTTGGCACTAAAGGATAGGGTTTTTGCAAACATATTTTTCCGTTTAGACATTCAGTGAGTGCAAATGCGA